TGCACTGGATAGCAAGGATTTTTGCTGGGTTTTATGCAAACCAGACCCTGAAGAAATATCCTTTTCCAGTGCAGACCGGTGCTTTTTGCCCTTCAGAGGCCACAAGACGCCTGCCAATCCTCCTGTTTTATCACAGTCCACCAAGTTCCACTACTACAAACACCCTGGCTGGGCACTGGGACCCAAACTGCAGGGATTTAGGGTCAGCAGGAGCTCTGCCACCTGGATGCTTCATCAAGGGGGGATCATAGACAGACAGGGATGCTGCTGGTCCCTGGTGCAGAGATGCAAGAGCTGGGGGGGATTATTGGGGGCAGCAGGTCAGAGCAGGCTGGGGGATGTCTGGCTCTACAGTGTCCCCAAGAAGATTTAGATAAAGAGCTGCTGCGCTGAGGATTTGCTTTGCTGAGGCCAAGGTGTGAGCTAACTTCTCACAAGGGAAAAGCTCAAGTTGAAGAGAAGGGAGAGGAAGGGACTGGGAGCTGACGTGTGGGGGAAAAAAGGGCAGGGTAAATTAAGATTTAGAAATCCTGAAAAGGATTTCTTTCTCAAAGCCATTACCTGTGGGCATTAAACCTTTTATTCACATGGCAAAATCAGCCAGTAATAACCCAGTATGGTGCTTTAGCCTTGTTAATTTTCAGGTAAGGGAAATTTCCAGGTCATTCCAGATGCTGGCCATGCTCTCGCGAGCATATCCAGTGGCAAAAGCACCAAGAACACATCCCTTACCCAGGGCACTCGTGGTCCCACGTACCACCCTCAGCTCTCCATATGGATAAATCCATGGCACGATGCTCTGGCATCGGTGTGCCAGGTGGCCTCAGCCAGCCCGAGAGCTCAGACCAATAAGCCACTGGTGACTATTTTGGCTGCGATAATTTCCTCCCCAGCAAGGCATGCTGGCAGGAGGTTCTGCTCCAGAACCACCCTCAGGGAAGGGTGAGATGCTGCAGCGGCAGGGAGAGCGAAGCAGGCAGCTCAGCCAGACCTCCGCCGGCACCGATGACGTCCGCATATCCTGAGCTTTTCACATGCAATTAATTATTCTATATGGCTTAATCCTTTACAGCCGGCTTTGACTAGAACTGCTTAGTTGCTTTTATATATGTGTGTCCATCCATATACACATACACCCCTGCATACATACTACACTAAAATTATGCAGTACTTAAGAATATCCATTTAGACGTCTCTTGTGCACAACACTAAGGCACTGCAAGGAAGGAGGGAAGGTTGCTTTTCTCTTTGCTAAAAATATCTCTTTCCTCCCTCCGTGACCACATGCTTCCAGTCCAGCCCCAGTAAAGTGACTTTGCCTCTGGAAAACCACTCAGCCTCAGCTCTCGGCAGAGCTAGCACCACCTACCCAGTAGCGAGACTCAGACTGATGATTTTTGGCACAGTGCTAATAGCCACCACTGCTGGCAATGAGCTGCTTCTCCATCCACCCACCTCATGCCGAAGAGAGGGGAAAGCACTGCCCCTGGCAAAGGAACAAACACAACAACTTCAACTCTGAGTGCAATCTAAACATACAGAAAGCAAATATTGCTGCTTGAAACCAAGCTGAGCCAGGAAGCACTTTTCCAGACAGTCATGATTTCATCAGACCCAAGTCCAATTTTTTAGATCCACAGGCTCAGCCAAGTCACTGGTGTTCAACAGGACTGCACCATTTTAGAGACCCTGGGACGTCTGTCAGTCCCTCCTGCGCTGCAGGGTCCTGCTCATGGCACAAGGGAAAGGGTTTTGGGAACTCTGTGTCGATGCCACAGCTGCATTCAACACCGTGTTAACCCTCCTCCGAGAAATAGTCAAAGCCTCTAACCTTGCAGCAGTCAGCAAGTCCTTTCCAGCAGTTACTGCCACACCAATCACTCAGTCCTCCTCCTCTAAACAGGGGAATTTTTTTTTTTGTTTTTTAAAGAAAATTTCCCTGCTGTAGGCGGATAGGGCAGGCACCAAGGCTAGCGAGGAAAATCCAGAACTTTTCAGCCCCGGGCGCAGTGAAAGCAGCACGGCTGCATCCCTGGCTGCGTGCGAGCCCTGCTGATGCTGGGAGCTGTGGGCGAGAGCCCAGCGCACCCGTGGGCAGCGGGGCCAGGGTCCTGTGCCTGCTCCCCCTCTGCAAACACGCTCCTGCCCGCTGCCTGCCCTTCCCTGAGCTCATCACCGAGCAAAACATCACCAGCCACGTGCAGAGAAAAGACAGACATGCAACCTATTCTCAGGAATTATTTCTATTCTAGACTGTCAGTGCAGACCAGAAAGAGGTTAGCGGCTTTTTTGAGGATCTCCTACAAGGTCATGAAGCACAAGCTTAGAGGAACTGAAAATTTCCGATTTTTATAAGGTAAAAAAGTATAAGATAAAATATAAGTAATGTAAGAGAAAAATATAAGCATTAGAAAAATTTTATCGTATACTGTAAAATAATTGCTTTGTGTTTTGGTGCCCAGCTCCAAGTTCTCCCAATTTTTGATGGCTTCAACTACGGCAGGTTTGGGGAGGGTCCGGCCAGTGCTGCCACTGTGCACCCTGTGCTAGGGGATGGCACGACTCAGAGACTGGCATTCGACTGCTGGAAAAGGCGAGCAGGGGAAGGGACCCTCGGGTTCCCACCCACGCACGGCTGAACCGGCGCTGCCGCACGCGAGAGCTCCTGGAGTGACGGGAAACGGGATGGATACCGGCTGCGTGCAGAGCACGGCACCAGCAAAACAGGATATGGTTATGCTCTGAAAGGTGTTTTTGAAACAAGAAGTCTATCCGTACAGTAAGTACACGCGCTGCCCCAAGCGCAAGCTATGCTTTCTTATAAATAGGCTGGCTTCTGCGGAAATGAAAGCGCAAAATTGAGCATCACCTTTGATTGGGAAAAGGAAAGGACAATATCTTCAGAGCCCAGGTGCTGTTCAGCCATGGGGGTTTGGTACAACCCTTATTCATGGGACTGGCCTCAATTTTGCTGTCTATTAAAGCGGTGTCCAAACCGTCCCCCTTGGCCCCACGGTCCCTGTGGGAGTCAGGGGGGTGCCAGGGTCACGCAGGGAAAGGCTGGCCAGGCAGGGGCAGAGCCTGGGGACTGCCAGGTTTTACATCATGTTTGGGGTTGGTTTTTTTTGTTTGTTTGTTTTTTTTAATAAAAGGTTTTTCTTTAAATCACTACAGTGAAAATGCTTTACAAAGTGTGAGAGTGCACGGCAGAGGCAGCTGCCAGGAGGCACTGGCAAGCACGGGGAAAGTTTTGCATCCCAGATCCCACTGCAGTTACAGAAATGCTCCAGGACTAATGCAAACTGAGCCAGCATCCTCCACCGAGGTCTCAGCACATCTCCCAGGAGACTCTGCAACAAGCCCCATTTAAGCAATAAACCCCAAACCTCTGCTGCTTTTAGTCCAAAAGCATCAGCAGATTAATCCATCCCAAGGGGACAACTCTGCAGCAAAGATCCCACAGTGCTGAAAGCTCTAGCTCCCCCACAAGATTAATTAAGGCACATTAAGTAATCAGCAGGCTTCAAAAAAAAGGCTAGAAGCTTTAACTAGTAGGAGTATTAGCTGCTGAAACAGGCAAGCACCCACGTGTTTCAGGAGGTACAAGCTGCAAAGCCCCAGCAAGGAGCTGTGCCACCGCAGGGGTGACAAACCTGGCACACTCTATAAAAGCCCATGATGTGCCCAAGGGATTAAATTCCTATAAACCACAATGAAAAAGTAGATAGGGCTACAAAACCCTGCTATAAGCTGGAATTGTCATACGAGTAAATCAATAACGCTTTAAAGGAGTAGGTGTCCCCAAGACCCTGGTACCTGCTGTGAGCACGGGATGCTGCGGTGGGAACACTGCAGTGGACTGCGCTGCCGGGCCGCTGCAGCCCCTTCTGCAGAGCTGCAACCCTCTCCCCAAATCATCCTGCAAAATAAGTCCTGTTCTCCTGAGCAGACACACAAGAAGAATGAATAAATGCAAATTTAAATGTCACAATTCAATCTGAAATTATTTGCTACAGAAAGGGTTAAAAAAGTCACTTTTTCAAAATAACCAATTGAATCAAGAATCCTCAATCCCTCTTGATCTTAAAAAAAGAAAAATTTTTTTAGTACTTCTTGAGCTAGAGGCCCCAGATGGATAACTACAGAAGTGCTACTTTTCAAAATCATAAAGTCACCGAGCATAAAGTCACCATGCCGTGGCCAGCACCGCCCTCTGCTGATAGCCATTGCCTGCCGAGCACCCACTGGGTGCCGAGCCCGGGATCTGCCACGGCTCAGGAACACAGTGATGGGTGACACCGCTTCGTGGCACAAGCATTCATTTGGAAGAGAAGAGTCCTTGGCTCTGGGCCTGGTTTGCTCCGCATGAGCTGTGGAAATCCACTGAATAAGAAAATAATGACCGTGGAGAACCTCCTGGTTTTGGGGAAGCCCAAACCGGACCATGATCAGGTTCAATGTGACTTTCTGAAGCCCCCCCAAAGTACCGGGTACAGGGACCACCAGTGTAGGGGTAAAAACATCCAGATGAGAGCAAAGAACCTTTCTCAGAAAGCTGGAACAGGGAGAGGAAAATAATTGCTGAAGCATCTCGCTTCATCAGCCTCGTTAGCTCGGTGTCCTTAGCAGAAGGGGACTCTACAAGCAGGCGCTTGCCCGTGGGACCCCTCACCGCTTCAGCTGGGTGCTGGCGGAGTGTCGAGCCCCCCCGGCCCCGGCAGCGGGTGACTGGCAGCTGCTGTCACCCCAGCCTCGCGGCAAACAGCCATTGCCATGCCACACTGGCAGTTTCCAAAACACCCCGAAACCAACAGCGCCTTTACATATATATAGGGATATATATAGAGAAGTATATATAACCACAAAAAAAGAAAGAAAAAGGGTCAGGTCCAGCTCAGACCCACGGGTGGGAGGAGCAGCATGGCCGGGGAGGGCCCCGCTCCCCTCCTGCGTGGGGGCAGGCTGCTGCTCCCGGCAGTTGCACTTTTGCTTTGCACATCGAGGGGTGGGAACCGCTGCCAGCACCCGCGGGGTCACACCGGAGCAGCCCGCCAAGACGGCAAAGGTAGGACCGATATTCTTTTATCCTCAGTTATTTTTGGTTCAGGGTAATGGGTTTAAATCGTCCTTTTTTTGATTATTGCTACATAGACTTGGTGCCTCTTCTTAGTCGCGCTGAGAGTGCCGAGAGGGGATGGGGACACCTGACCTAGAGGCAGGAGGGTGCAGTGTTAACGACCGACCCCCATGAATCTCCAAAAGTAAATGAGTAGAAGCAAAGAGATGCAGGCGAAGCTCAGGTGTGGGTGAGGAGCCAGTACCGCCATTGATCAGAAGAGTGAGCTCCTATAAGTGCTCATGAGATGCTCTGTGTATGTGAGGGAGAGGAAGGGTACGGCTGAAGCCAAAACAGCCAGCCGTGAAGTTTCAAACCATATTTCTATTATGGTTACATGAGTATCGAGAAGCTGCGTTTGAGAATAACGCCAATTGTGGCGGTTCTTAACCTTTGCAAAACCCACAGCTGCTTGTGAAGCAGACTTTTTGAGGCCATACAGCCTCATCTCCACAAGCACAGGGATAACTCCTCCGATTTACTCATTACTCCAGGTCTCACTTGGGTTCATCTCGCTGCATTTGTCCAATGGATTTTCTTAAACAGTCTGTTCCTTACAAAAGGCAGTACGCTGACTTTCCACTGGCAATTTTCCACTGAGCTGCAAGAACACGGGGAGGGAGGAAGAGGAGGAGGAGGAGGCAGGGTCATCTGTGCCACCACCACCACTGCTCACAGCCCAGGGAGCACAGGCACGCGGCTGCGCATCCCTGGGGGGGGGATGTGCTGACTGTTTGGGTGGAAAACGGGCAGCTTTGGTGCTTGTAACCATGTACATCTACTAGGGACATCAGAGTGTGCCAGGAAGGGAGAAGAGGGGTGGGGGATTAGGCTAATACACAACATTGCTGCTCCGGGTTTATTTTCCCTTTTTAACTGGGATAAATATTAAGAAGGGACGACAAGAGCTTTTGCAAAGGATTAAAAGGCAAAAGCAGCATGTTTCACACGACATTAAACTGGAGCATTTATTTTTTCCTGCATATTCTTGGAATTTACCCAGCCAAAATCCCCCTGGTGTCCCCAGCTGCCTGCTTGCCTGACTCACCGCACACCAGCACACAGCCGGCCCCCCACCACCGCAGCCCAGCCCCTCTTCCCAGTGAGGTCCCCCGGGGCTCCAGCCCCGCAGCCCCTTCCCAAAATTTCAGTGCCAGAGGAGGAGTTTCCCTCAAGCAGATGCTGGCAGCTCTGCCGCTCCTCCCAGCATGGACATGGGCAGAAAGGCAGGGAGCAAGGGCAAGGCAGGGAGTAGGCATCCCAGGGAAACACTCTGTTACCTTAATGATGAGCAAATGAGAAATTAATGAAAGAACAAATAGAAAGAAAGCTTTTCATTCAGCTGTGCCAATGCCCCACAGTCCTAACCTGTAAAATCTTGGCTGTTTCGCTGCTTTTTCCCCTGGAACAAACACTCACCACCTTTAGTGACTCACATTTCAGAAATTTAACCACAGAAATTGGATGGGATGAACAGGCACTTGCTCTGGTACTCTGCAACTGAGTCAAATGACAAAGCTGCTCTCATCCGCATTGCTTTGCGAGCGCAGCATTAGCAAATATATTACGGCAACTCAGAGCATGCCTAGTGTGAGGTGCAGAACAGATGCTGGGCGAGGGGAGGGATGCTCTGGAGGCCGCTGGTACCCAGACTGGGGTAAGGCAGGCAGGGGCTCAGGGTTTCCACTGGGTCAGGACAAGCACAGCAAAACACAGGAGGCCCTGAGGATGCCTAACAAAAAACCTGTGGCCTCTGTGGGCAGATGCCACCATAGAGAAAATAAAAGAGAGAAATCTGCACAGTTAGCACAGCAAGAGGCAACATTGCTCCTATGGAAGGAGATACAAACCCCAGATATCTACCAGACAACTGCTTCAAGGGAGAAAAGCCTTTATCCTCCCCTGACATTTTTTAAAAGAACTAAAAAGCAATCCTACACAATGGTCAGTTTATATTTCTATCATTTCTATTTTCAGTTAATGCCTATTAATTACTACTAACAGTAGTTATCTCCACCAAAATAGGACAGCAGCACTTCAGATGACAGACAAAACAAGTGGTTACTGGGAGAAGCCCAGGACACTGGTGCCCTGCTCCAGTCCCTGAGCCAGCTCCCATGTCCCCACATCCCCAGGGAACACCCAGGGAGGGACAGAGCCACCACCACACCACCTCTGCTTGAGCACATTCAGCAGGAAACTAAATTTCTATTTGAAATTACCCCTGTACACATTCTCCTCTTATTTTAGGCCACAAAGGAAGAAGAAAAATAGAAGAGAGGTCCTGGTCAGCAGCACAGCCAAGCCTCCTCCCAAAAGGGTAAGTCAGCAGATGACACCAGGGTGCCCAGGGCAGCACCAGCTACTGCTCTGCCCACATCACCTCTGCCATAGGTTTTCCATGTTTTTACGGCATAAATACCAGCCCCACACCAAACACGGGGTGCCTACGCATCCACTGCTCACCTGGGCCAGCAGCGGTCCTTGCAAGAATGGTGCTCGGTGGCAGGATCCAGCCAGACTGATCTTGTACCCTGGTTCTGGGAGGGAGCAGGAGGTGTTGGGCAGCATCCCAGATTCCCTAAGGACCTAAGCTCCAAGAAGGGACCAGGCATGAAGCTGCAGCAGGGGCAGCACCTACAAACAGTGCCTAGCCCCAGGCTGCTTTCCCCTAAGCTGGTCTAAGAGCCTCTCCTTCTCTGAGCTGGGTTTTAAGAGCTGCTGTGGCTTTGCTTCCTGGGGTAAAACCCACAGGATTTGCTAACGAGGGTCCTGGGTTCACCCAGGCAGTTATAACCATCCTCAGGTGAGGGGCTTGATTACCCATGGAGGGTGTGATGGGTGGAAGTGACTGCTCCTGCATCCCCAGCTCCTGTGCTTGTTCACATGGAGCATATGGATATATGGCTGCCCTTCAGCATATGGAAAATACTTTACACAATACGTGCCCGGCTTTAACAAGCATTAACAAGCCCTGGCTATAAAGGCTGGCTACAAAACTCACCTAGTGTTTCTGACTCATTAAGTACAAAGGAGAAATCTTCACATAGTGCCCTGACGTGGCTGACTGTGAGGTCTCCTTGGTAAAATAGGGGGAAAAAACCATTCGGGGAAGAAGGAAGCCATGCCTAGGGAGAGTCTCACACCTGCTGCCCCAGCCAGCCCCCTGTGCCGAGGGGAAGCGAGCGCAGAGCATGAGAAACAGAATTTCCTCTTTCTGGAGCTTTTTTTAGCATCCTGCTGTTTTTACATAGCACATTTGGCTGAACTTCACGATGTTACTGCTCGGGATTTCCAAAGTGCAGTTTCTCACATTGCAGCGTTTTTACCCCTGCTCCGAGGGTGGCCGCTCTCCCGGGGGTGTTTCTGGGGGCTCTGGGCAAGCACCCTTGCTGCTCCCCAGGTTTAGCTGGGCCTTCTGGGACCCCTCATGCTGTGGGTTTGGAGCCCCAGGGAGAGATGGAAGGTGCTGCAAGCGTTTCTCTGCCCCTGGGCTGGGCTGGAGGGAGCGGAGGATGGTGTTGCAGGAAAGTTGCTGTGAGGTGGGGACGGGGAAATGTAGGCACTGGGGTGGGCAGCAGGAAAAATGCTGGTGTGCATGTGTGTGTGCACTGGGCTGCGGACAGATGGGCTGGGACTGCACCTTGTCCTTCCCTTCGCATGTCTCGTGGCCCAGCAATGGAGGTGGGGTGGATTTACCCACCCCGGAATGCAGCCAGAGGGAAAGGAGCATGATTCAGCCTCCCTGACCGGGTGATAGGAGCCCCTGGGCAAGAGATGAGAGGAAAGACAAGCTTGTTTTAAAAAACATAAAATTTAAAAATGTCACTGGAAGGAAGAGCTGGGTGATGCAAGTTTAGGGCTTTATCTTGCAAACGCCCCCGTAGATGCTCCCCAGCCTGGCGTAGCCCTGCCTGAGCAGCGTTCACAGCAGCGGTGCCAGCTGGGCACGTGTGCATCTGCAGGAGCGGGACACCGCGTGGGCAGAGAGCGATGGCACCGCGAAGTCACCCGAGCTCCTCGCTGCTGGCGCTTCAGAGCAAACTTTAGGCAAAGAAGTTGAGATGTTCTGGGTGAAAGGAAGTGAAAATCGAGCCAAGACAAAGCTGTGCAGCTCCTCACAAGCCACCCTTGCTCTGCTGGGCAGGCTGCTCATGTCCTAGGGGACATGGTACCTGGGAAGCCAAGAGGAATAGAGGAGGTGTCCGGCAGTGAGAGGATGCACCTGCTCACCGGTGTCCCGGTCCCTCTGCCTGGGCACAGCCCAGGGACCTACAACGCGGTTGTTTTGCTCGGACACCCCAGCAGGAGCAGGACCTGGATGGGAAGCCCGGACACATCACACTGAGGAGTTTGCTGTAACAGTAAAGATGGGCACATCTTCACAGGGCCTCACCATCCCCATGGAAAACCAACATGAGAGCATCCCTCCCATCCTCTAGAAGTCCCAGTCCTCACTAAGCAGCTCTGGCTGCTTTCCCAGTGCAGCCTGCTCTGCCTGTACCTATACTCAGCATTTTTTCAAGCCCAGCAAGGCAATTTCTGACCACTCGGGGAGGATGTACTGGTTTTGGCCACATGGTTTGGCTCCATCCCGGTACAGAGGAGAAGGCAGGAATCCATCCCAAGCAGACGCTGCTGTCAGGAAGCCCGAGAGGGGTTAACCAGCTGCTGAGGGGAAGTTCTGAAGCGCAGGGAACCCCAAGACATGACAGGTACTGCCAAAATCCAGACACATCCACAATCCCCTCCCAGTTACTCGTGCCAGTCAAGAGCCAGCAAATGGAAACCAAACCCCTTGGCCCAAGTTATCCACCAGTGACAAGTAGGTGAGCACCAATTAGTTTTCCTGCACGATGAAGAGATTACTTACATTTCTAGAATTAGTTGTGCAGGCTTGTGCATCGGAAGTTGGGCAGAGAATTAATAAAAGAATTGGAAAGTCTTTGAACAGAAGGCTAATTAACTCTATGACTTATTAATCATTGCTGCTGAAGCTTAATGGGATTATTTCACAAGCCATTTTGCTCTGCTGGTTGTGTTAGATGCTGGCTCCCTGGAAGAAAGGAAGACATCTCAGTCTCATTGGACTCGTTACTCAATGGTGTATGCAAGAGAAACTACACAAATAGATGCAGAAAAGCTGCCCCCCGAACTGTTTCCTTTTGCTGAAGATTTTCTGTTTCCACCCAAAGCTACTTCAAAGTTTTGGTGCAATCACACTGGCAAGTGTTGAACATTGGCTTCATTAATAAATGTTCACATTTTAATGCCTACACCTCAAAGTACAGGAAAAAACATCAAAGATTACAGCAGGATATAATTTGCCTTTATAAATGTGCCTTTGGCATCTTGGTTGGTACCTACAAAATTTTCCCACTTAGACCTGTAGGTTAATTCTTCATGCTGAAGCAAAAGGCAAACCTGAGAGAGTTTGGACAGAGATCTGAATTTCCTCTATATTTATCAGATCTGGTTGGATTTTTTTTTTGTCTAACAGATTCAGATAATATCAGCTGCTTACCATGCGAACAATTTTAAAATAAAGTCCACCTACAGTCACTTTAGTGACGATATCTCGTATTTCCAACAGCTGCAGCAGTCACATGTGCAAGATGGGTAAAGGAAAGGCTTAGAAAAAGCAGTTCTAAGAAAGTAAAATTTAAAATCATGCATGTAGTTCTGCAGCAAAAAGTGTTTAATAAGTGGGCCAGTTGTCCCTGCTTGCATGCAAGTATGTTTTATATTCTATTTATGAAAGATAAATGAAAAAGTAGATGAAAGCCACTGACTTGGGACTTCCACTCCGTGCTGCAGCAGCAACGGCTGCACCGGTTGAAAATGTTTATATCTCAGGTGTGTGTGTCAGGCTCATTTATATAAGGAGCAGATTTCGCTGCCGTCTTCTTGGCTGTCTGGAGCCATGGGGAGGGTGGGAAGTTTCTGCAGGGCTTTCCTGGGAAGACCAGGAGAGTGTTAAACTCATGAGTGCTGTATGAGGTGAGAGTATCCCTCTGCCCGCGGCAGGGCAGCGAGGAGGGATGCAGGCACAGCGCTTGCCGGAGCATCTCTGCGCTGGCCACACGCTCGGGCATGGGGCAACCAATGCAACCAGAGGTAAAGGGAGATTCGGATGGAAAAGCTGAAGCTGGGAAAGATACAGCTGCAGAAACCTGGCAGCAAGTTAAATAGGCACTGCGATTGGGGGTGGCTTCTGCTTGCTGATACAGCACAGGAGGCTGTTTTGTAGCAGCAATTAAACATATTTTCTATTTATTCCTCAGTGGTTTTACACCTCCCTTCACTGGCTGAGGCATGGTACTTGTTAGGCAGGAGAAGAGCTGGCCACCACAGATGCAACTGGCAATAGGTTTCTGCTAGAGAGATGCTCCTACCGCTCTTGCAAGCTTTCCTGTACGTTTTGCTTTGTAAGACCTGTGCCTCCCCACGGTGTTATAACTGCACCTTTCTGTCTTCCAGCTGCGGGGCCACGTCAGTTGTCAAACTCCTGCGTTGAGAGAAGTGGCTGAAATGCCACCCAAAAGGTGACAGAGGTGCAGCTCCAGTGACAAACTCTCGACTGCTTTGGCACACGACGATGCATTTCTCAGTGTGGATGCCCTCCTGTCAATCCTGCAAGCGACTAGAGTAAGGTCTGGTAACCTCTGACAAAGAGCATGAGCAAAGCGCACGACCAGGACTTTCATTAACTCACTCACCCCATAACCAAGCTCCTCCCCAGACTGGACACGATGATCTGGTAACCAAAGCCTCACACATGGATGCCAGGGCTGAACCTTTTTATTTAAGCACCGACAACCTGGTTGCAGGACACGAGTGAGGAACATGTTATCATGCCAGGGCTGAGCACGGATCTGGAGCACAACCATGACAAACGGTTCGACCTGCACCGAAACAGACCTCAAGCCCTACTATGCTATTACGTACACTTTCATCCTGATCCCTGGACTGATAGGAAACACGTTAGCTTTGTGGGTCTTTTACGGGTACATGAAAGAGACTAAAAGGGCCGTAATATTTATGATCAATTTAGCCATTGCTGACCTATCGCAGGTTTTGTCCTTGCCCCTGAGGATTTTCTACTACTTGACCGGGACGTGGGAATTTGGAGGAGGTCTCTGCATGCTGTGCTTCTACCTGAAGTACGTCAATATGTATGCAAGCATCTACTTCTTGGTTTGCATCAGCGTAAGACGATATTTGTTTCTTATGCACCCATTCAAATTCAGTGACTGCAAACGCATCTGTGATGTGTATATCAGCATCGTTGGGTGGGTCGTGGTCTGCGTTGGCTGTTTGCCTTTCCCGCTTCTCAGACTTCACCAGGATGCTAAAAACACCTGTTTTGTGGACCTCCCCGTAAAGGAAGTTGACCTTCCCATCTCCATTGCAATGATGACGATAGGTGAATTGGTGGGGTTCGTAACACCCCTACTCATCATCCTATACTGCTCATGGAAGACTATCTTATCACTAAAAGAACAAAATTCTGCTTCACATGGTCTCGGAGAAAAAAAAAAGGCTTTAAAGATGATTCTCACCTGCGCTCTGGTATTTCTGATTTGCTTTGCACCTTATCATATCAGCTTTCCACTAGATTTCTTTGTCAAAACCAAAAAGATCAAAAATGGGTGCGTCCAGAAGGTGATCTCGGTGTTTCACGTTGTAGCTTTGTGCCTTGCCAGCTTGAACTCCTGCGTGGACCCAGTCATCTACTACTTTACTACAGATGAGTTCAGGAGACGCCTTTCCAGGCCGGATTTACGAGACAGCATTCAGCTCCATAACCTCAGTTACGTGAGGAAGCATTCCAGAGATGTACTCAGGGAGGACGCCATGGACTACTAGCGCTGGCCTTCCCCAAACGGTTGCCAGGACTTCAAATGTTCACTATATTTTGGGGTTTGGCCCAATTTTTTTTCCCCAGGACACTGAGAGTGATGACTTAGACAAGCTGATTTCAGTGAGGGTTGGAAAAAACCAAACAACCCCCTCCAAAAACCCAAACCTGACCAAAAATATGTTGATTTAATACTTCAGTTGCAAATTTTCTCTGAATATAAATAACACCATGTAATCCCCAGAGGCCCTATTTCTAAGCTGGGCAGCCAGAAGCAGGTAGCTTTGGCAGTGGGAGGATGTGGACCCATGGCGAGAGGTGATGCTGTGCCCCATTGTCACTGGTGGGGCCATTACCCAGCCGTGTCCTGGTCACACACCCCGGCTTCAGCAAAAGACAGCAAAGATTTTGGGGTCTTGCTATTTTATTTCTGAAGCAAAAGACAATCCAGCTGTGACTAATTTCTACAGAGAGTGCCAAGAGCCTGCCTCAAGCCATGTTGACCACAGAGCAAGGAGCATAAGGTGGCCCCAAAGGACCTGTCATTTAAATAACCAACCAAGCCTCCATTTTGGGGTATAGCAAATGACATACCCCAAATCACAAAGTCATTGAACCATCCAGACACTATTCTTCTACCATCAGTTCCCATTTCTGGCTTGAAAGCCCTATGGTTTGAAGCCATATGGCTGCCTTGGATTAGTTTTAACCACGGGGCCATGCTTCAAGGGTATTTATTCAGGCTAGACGTCCACCAAGCCTTTCAGGTTCTCTTTTCACCAAAGATGGGGCAGATTATTTCCCTTTCACTGATAACTGACCCTGCGCCATCACATCTACTCTTTATTAACAGCAGCGTGATTAAAACACTGTCAGAAGAACCAAGCCTTTCTGAAGTTTACTGTAATGAGAACTCACTATAATAAGCAGAGGCAAAGGTGCCACCCAACAGGCTACGAGAGATTTTTTAAGAAAGGCTCAAATGTGGATGCATTGTTAAGAATAATTTTTTTACAGTCAAACAACAGAAGCTTTGGGCTTTACTGGTATTTCATTTGCACCTTCTTGTAAAATTTATTTTTCTGTGAACATATGAAATGTTACATTTTGAAATGTAAGAATACTGTGATGGTATGAGGTTTTATTTAATGCATATGTGGTTTTATAGATTTAATTTATAAAAAAAATATATATTTTGTAGAAAAATGATGTGAATCCCAGAGAGTGTTGGAACACAGAAAGACTTTTTTTCTTTTTAAAAACTCTTCTATATAATAAAACAATACTCCACCACCTCATCCCTACAGGAGTCTGAGCCAGTGTGTCTGTACCTGAGTGTTGTTGGCTGAGTAAGCACTGCTAATTCATGGAAACCACGAAGCACATTGTAATTTGTTCACAGCAATGAAAAAGTATTTATTTTTTTATTTCCTATTGTATACAATAAAAAAATCCCTTTTTCAAAAAAGTTTTAAATATAATTCTCTCCTCTCTGTAAGTGCCTGCATCACCAATAAACGCTTACATGGACCAACGCGTGGCAGCACTTGGATTGCTGACACCTCTCGAGCACCTGCAGAACATTTTAGATGCCTTTTGAAAATTATTTTAACCTCCTTCTTGCACTGGGGAGAAAAGCAAAATGCTGGCTTGCAAAGAGACAAAACACACTGCTGCAAACTGCAGCAGCGCATCTGCCCCCCCTCCCCGAGAGGTTTACCAAGACAACGGGAATTCCTATAGCTGAAGGCCAGCACCGGCACAAGCCCATCACCGTCCTTTCTGGCCACTGACCCCATTCCCAGCCGTGTGGGAGGCGAGCAGGATGGCCCTGTACAATCCCCCAGAGCTACTTTTAGCTTCCAAGGGAAAAAGATGTTACACAAAATGGTGTCAGAAGTTCAGAAATTGTTCAATGAGAAAAACCTCAATAAGGTTTTTTTTCAAGTAGAAAATACTGTGGGTGCAACACGAGCCATTTCCCCTGCTGACATAGCAATGTGGTTTATTCATATTAGTATTAACGGTCTCTTTTTACAGGAAGTTGTGTAACAGTCGTGGTAGCTCACATGAGCCGAATTCAGGAGAGACTTGCCTGCCCACCCCCTGCCATGGCACCTCTGCTCCAGGTGGGATTTGCTCGAGCCACGCTCTCCATGGCAGAGGTCTCACAAGCCCTTGGCTGATGTTGCCACGGACATCTGGAGAATCAAAGTATTACTTAGATTAACAGAAGGTGTATTTTCATGGCCTTTTGATGGCTCGGCACCACGATACCAGCCCACACTCCAGCCCTGGTGCAATCACACACCATCAGAGAGATGCTCTGCTGCATTTCTGCCACCCAAGCAAGCCTCAAGTGAGGATGGCACACAGGAGGTTTGGAGAAGATGAGGGATGCCCAGCCACTGCAGCAGCCTGGAGCAATTGCTGTCTGATCACTTTTCTGCCTGGCTTTGAGCTCTGTGCTAGGCAAGATCCGATTCTTCATCCGGACTTAGCTCAGCTCTGCCTGCAGTTCCCTGTTAGCCTGTTCAGAAGCTGATATTCCCATGGAAATCTTTTCTCCAGAAAGCCTTTTAAATAATAAATCCAGTCTGCAGCACTGGATTGGGAATCTGAATGAGAATCTAATAGAGAAAAAAAACAACCCAAAATATCTCCTTTATTCTGCATGAATTATTTCCTCTGGTCGCTCAAGAAGCACCTCTCCCCCAGGAGAGTTGTTACTGCCGAAAAGCAAAGCACTGAGGTCTCTGCCAACAACCTCACCAGGTGGAGTTTGTGCGAAGTGACATGTAGGGCAAGTGGTTTTTCGACACAGAGTTAGGTTTAATTTGTGCTAGGCCAAAAGAAAAGGTATTGTGGCAACAGTGCAGACCCAGGGAAAGTCTCAGGGGATGCTTGGGGACCTTAAGCTGTTCAGAAGCAGCATCAAGTTTTTCTGGGAAGTCTTATTTATACACGAAACAAGGCGAATGAGGAGAGTTCTGGGTGGAAACAGAGCTCTCGGCGTGTTTCCGAATGCCACACATCGCAGCCCCCCCCGTTTCCATCGACTCCCACACAGCCACACGCCTCCGAACCCACATGCCGTGGAAAGTGCAAGAGCCGCCTGCAACAGCTGCAGACGATTTCATCACACCTCGGGCTTCCTTTGTGTCACTGTCATCACGAGGAGAGACATGACAGGTTTTTTTGGTTTGGTTTTTCGGTTTTTTTTTTTTTTTTTCACTTTGAGACTTAAGCTGGTGTCGAAGTGGGAGAGCACGCGCCCACCCCTCTTCCTGTTCTCTTCTCTAGACCTTCACAAGATGGTCGCGTCGAGCCAGATCAGAGACGGCTGAAGCGGCTCATTTGCTGCTGATGGTGGGCTTGGGGAGAGCATTGAAATGCCGGGCTGTGGGCAGCAATCCTGCCCGGGTAACAGCTGTCTTCAACCACTGGTTGTGGGGCTTCTTGCAGCTGCACTGAAAGCATCACTCTCCAGAGCCATGAAAAGCTCTTTTCCAACCTGCTTGACCAACACACACCTGAACCCCCCGATCCCTTAAGTCCGGTGGCAATGAATTCCCCATTTTGGTTACGCCTACGCTGCTTGGAAACATACCGCTGTTGCTTTGAGCTGGCCACCTGATAACATCATTCGGTGTCCCTTCCTCTTGCACCACGAGCAGACGGTTCCCTTCTCACCTCCTCTGCACGACTCGTGCCCTGGCAGAGGCGAGGTCTTACCCACGCTCGGGACCTGCAGCCACCTCTTGCCCCCGCGGCTGCCACCCCAAGGTGGGACCAGGACCATGTGCTGATGGCCACAGCATGGGTCCTCCGATATTTCCAACGTCTTCATCTCCCCTGCCATCACCAGCCACTGCCCGTGAGCTAACAGCATAACTCAAAAGATCTCCTTTCTGTGTGAAAAGGGCTGATTTGCAGCTCCTCTTGCCTAAGCAGAATTCTTCCCCCTTACACATCTTTTCTTTTATCAGCACTAGATTTTATTTGCTATTTTGTCATTTGGTTGCTCAGTGTCCTGAGAAGACTCCCCATTTCTCTGTAACCAGTGTTAGATTTTCCTGCTCCAGTTAAGGCTGCGTGAGCAGCAAACTTTGACACTTTTTACTTCACTGTTTACTTCCTTTTTCACTTTGCTGTTAGAGGTTAAAAATTAGTACTGTCCCCAGTGTCACCAGAAAAGCTCACTGGCCATAAAAGTACACAGAGCATCAAACTCAGCGCTGCTGGACACCACTCCTCAGACCTCAGTAACTAAAAAAAAAAACCCCCTTCAACCCCCCCCCCCCCCCAAAAAACCAAAAAAAACAAACGGAGAGTCCGAAACAGAGCGCACCC